ACTCGCCGCCGCCCACAAGAAACACCCACACGCACCCGCACGGAGAGTCCGCAGTGTGTGACGCCTCCCACAGAAATTAAACAACAAAACAAATTCATAAGCACCTCGTTTACCGTCTCCCCCGCCCAGCCCCTTCAAACCCCGCCAGCGGCAACATGCAGTGCGCAATGCCGGCGGGACCTCCCATCACGGCCCCCACAAACTCCCCAACGCCGCCACTTCCCTCAGCGCACTGCAGCAGGAGTGGGGCGTGGCGTAACTAAAATAATTTAAAAAATAAAAATAAAAAAAGACGCATGCAGCACCAATTCTTCCACGCCTCGTTACGCTTGCAAGCGAGGGCAACACGCCAGCGCAGCCGTAGCCTCAGACTGCCCGGTCAGTGCGTGCAGCCCAAACAAGACGGAACAGGCGCATGCGCCCAGGACGGCAACCCAACAAAAGAGAGACGCCAACGGCGTTTGCTCGAGGCTCTCAGCGGCGCATGCGGCACCCCCCATTGGAGTACAGACGAACCAAAAACGATGGCACCCAAAAAAACAAAAGGGAAAAACACCACGCCAACGCACAAAAACAATTTCAGAAATTCGGTTTGCCCCTGACCTCTGGGCTGTGGTGGCCGCCGCATTTGCTTTCCCGCCTGTGAGCCCACTCAGCATGCAAAACTTACCCTCTCGCCCAAACTCTCTGCAGTAACAAACTGGGAACAGCGAGGGGATATCACCAATGGAATACTGCCGGCGTACACCCACAAGGCGCCATCATTCCCCACGCAATTTTACTCGCAACCACAACAAAAAAAAAAGTGCTGCTGTGGTAGCGCTGGCCATAATAATCACTTGGCGCACGGCAGAGCGAGTCCCTAAGTGCGCCTCCTACCCACACACAAACACACTCGGCAATATATCATACTCCCTAAAATATTTCACCAGTAAACTCAAGCTGTTTATTCCCCTCCTCCTTTTCCTTGTCCCTCTGGGTGTCATCCACGTTGGGTTTGTCGTTCATGTATAAAATTTTCAGCTGATACCGCTACCTCGCACTGATGCACCTGCTGATTCCAAAATGCCGCAATGGCCCGAGGGTCCTCACGCCCATTGCTGCCCGTTACATTTGCGTGCGCGACGACAACACATTGCTGCCACGCGTTTATTGTCGTACTGTCCTCATGCTGCACGTAAATAATCTCCCACGACAAGCCTTCCTCAAAAGTTTCCCAGTCATCAAAATAACTCCGTAGAAGACTGTTGAACCGCCTCACCGTGCTGGCTTTGGTGCCATGCTCAGCCCTCGTCGTCTCACCTGCACCGCAACCATCGTCCTCCGCGGTGCGCCAACGAAGAAAAAGCTGTCCACAAGCGGAAAATGTCTGCTCTCCGGTAGGTATAGCACCTTGTATTGTACATCCAACATCGGAAAAGTGTGGTCCAGTGCTATTAATGCAACGGGTCTGCTTGGATGTTTTTCGGGGTTCGATTGCAGCACACATCTCTGTCGCCGACGACGTCCTGGTGGAGGCAACTCGTTGAGGCCCGGCATTATATTTTACATAAAGACTCTACTCAGGGGTGCGTTCGGAGCATACCGCTCCGAAGCATCTGCCAATAATTCTTTTCTGCACTTCAATAGTCGATAAATAATGCCATTCTTCCCATCCACCTCGAGCAACTTTGCAATTAATTTGCTTTCAATGGAAAAACAGACCGGCAGGTTAACAAACGCCTCAAGACCGCGTTGTGTTTTTACTCTGACAACTTTCACAAGTTTGTGAGGTGCGTCATTCGAGGGCCACATTTCCTTACCTCCAATCATATCATATTGTGTGGCATTTGAAGCGTTGATACCTGCCAGGACGTTATCGATTTCCTCCACGTGGTTTTTATATTTATTATCATTAAAGATGCATCGTGGAATCGGTCCGACGTCATGCATGCGCATGTACATCCTTCTCCAATACTCCACCTGCTCCTCTTCAGTCTTATTGCGTGTCTCCCAGTACACATCGCCTTCACGTCATTTTCATCGGGCAATTCATGATGACTTTCATGGTGCCC